AAAGTCCAGATGAGTGATAACTTAATTGTTTATCCCAGGGATGTCTCTGGCTGTGTGTAGTCTTCATGTTTACTATTCTTTGGACACATTTTAACAAGGCATCTCATGCTGTCTCAGCGGCATTTCACTGAGACTCAAGGTACTGCATTGATTACCTTAAACACAATGCATTTGTAAGGCTTCCTCCAGAACAAACAATCAGATGGCCTAGGATAGCACTAAGTCTCTGGGGTGACCAAAGGTTAAAGTACTTTAAATCAATCTGTTATTCACATTCAACATCTTTAACCATTGTTTTAAATTTAGAGCATTATGTCTAAATTTAAAACAATGATTTTATGCAAATCAAATCAAAACAATTTTGAGAGTCTCTCTTACCCCAGTCAGAATGGCTGTCACGAAAACAGGAAAAACAATGAATACTGGTAAGAATGAGAAGAGGAAAAGGAACGAATTTACATTGTTGGTGGAAATGTAAAGTAGCACAATGCTATGGAAATCAGTATGGAGATTCCATTTAACACAGACATACCTCTGCTGGGTCTATTCCTGAAAGAACAAAAGATGCTATACTGTAGTGAGACATGCATACCTGTGTTTCTAGGAGTGTAATTCACAATAGCTAAGCTCAGAAAACAACCTGGATGCCTGTGAGCAGATGCATAAGTAAAGAAAATATGGTATACATGCACAACAGAGCATCATTCAGCCATAGGAAACAATGAAATCTTGTCACTTAGAGGAACACTGATGCAACTTGAGAAAATCATGCTGAGTGAAATAAAGCACTCAGAAAGCTAAATATTGCATATGTTTCTCTTATATGAGAAACCTAAAATATAAATAAATAAATAAATAAAGGAGAGTTGATAGAAAACTGGAAGGCAGACTCTTGGTGACAGGGTAGGGATTGGGGGAGGGAAGGGTAAAGGGATTGCAAATGGTCAAGATATGTTATATGCATGTGCCAATTACCCCAAATAAACCACTATTCTATACTATACATATGCACTAAAAAGAAACAGAAAAGAGTTCAACAACGATAACAATAACAAAGAGCTATTAAGTTAGAAAAGCAAGAATATTATCAAAGGTCAGAGAGAAAAATTATAAAAATTTAAAATTATTTTGCATTTATAAGGCTTCATAAATATCTTGAAGTTCTCACTACATGTTAAAGAAACTAAAAATTGAAGTGATGCATTCATTAGATGCAGAATTTTTAAATAAGAATTTAATTTTTATTAATTAAATTTATTTATTCATTTATTTATTGTGGTACCGGGGATAGCAACAAGAGCTTGCACAGAAATACCTATCCAGCTCTCTCTTTTTTGTTTTGATCTTTTTTGAGACAGGGTTTCACTATGTAGTTTAGGCTGGCCTAGAACTTATTTTGTAGCCCAGGCTGGCCTTGAACTTGCAGTGATCTTCTTGTCTCAGCCTCCCAAGTGCTGAAATTACAGGCATGTGCCACCATGCATGGCCTCTTTTTTAAAAAAAATTTTATTTAAAGAAAGACTAAACAAAACAGAAAACGGGTAGAAATAATACATAATTTCAAACAAAAAAATAAACAGTAAGAAATCACTAGTTGATGATTACAGATCGTTCTCTTACAAATAGTTATTCAAGATACTAACGTGGAGCATAAAAAGTGGGGATTCAAACAGTGAGACTGCAAGCAGTTCTGTTCAACTATCCAACAAAAACTTAGAAATATGGTTATCAATCCTATACACTTAAACATACATGCAGTTATCCATATCTTCAATTATGTTGAGATTGAACAAACCCAAGCAGGCTAATATCACTCTGAACAAATAATAATACCATTGCTGGGTTTCATATTACGACACTCCAGGATCAACACTGGGTACCTTAGTACCTCTTTTTCTTCAAAGTATTTGTTCATTTCATCATGTGTCATAAGATCAGTTCTCATAAACTGTTTATAGATTCTACACATGCATGAGTCTTAACATGTATTTCTATCCTTTCTATATTAGAGGGAGAAACAAAACAAAGCAAGACAAAACAAAACATATTTCTATAAACACAAACAAAAAAGACATATAAGACCATTGTACAAGGAGTTCTACCATAGTTCCTGTGTTGTTTCTTGTTACCTTCAATAGAATTGGCTATATCATCAGACATAGTATAATTGAATATATTAGTACATAACAGTGTTAATAAAAACACAACTTTATATATAGTATAAAACTTCAAAAGCAGGCAGTTATCAAACCAGAATGTGTAGAGACTTGTCATCTTCAATGTAGTTGCCTATACTCTCAGACTTGGTACTATCAATCATATCAGTTTTGAATAAAATCTGTCGATACCAAACAGCATTCAAACAAACCCAATTTAACTAAGATCAGTCATGATAAAACAGTATAAGTTATACAGGGCTCCAGATTAAGATAACAGGAAATTAAAGATGATTACTATGCTATATCCTTTTTGGATAGCTGTCTGTGCCCTCAAATCTAATGCAAGTAGACAAACTGGGACAGAATAAAATCTAAATTAAAAAAAAAAAGAATAAAATCTGTCTAAGCAGAGTGGTGCGAGTAATGTGGGTTTTAAACCCTGATACACTATTAACAATATCTTCTGCCATCTTTTTTATGACTCTCCCTCCCCTTTCACTTCCCTAGGGTACACTGTGCATTTTTGGGTCTCACCAAGACCCTTGGTTTTAAATTGGGTGAGGGATGGAAGACAACCTGCTATTTACCTAAGTGGTTCCAAACCTTCTCTCTCCTGGACTTGATCTCTAATTGTATTCCTTTACCTATTAAAGCTTGTCTTTCCAACCTCTCCACAAATACTAGTCTAGTTGCCCCTATTACTCTCTGGTTCTCTGTCACATAGAGCATTGTTTTCTCACATTTGATTTTCAGTCCATGTACTCTTTTTCATGTTAATTGTATTTCCTATAAATAGCATCTCAGTGGACTCTGCCTCCTGATCTACTCCACCTGTGGTTCTTTTTTTTTTTTTTTAAATTTAGTGTATCAAGGCCATCTATATTAGAAGTCATAACCAACCTTCTCTGCTCTTTTTTTGGCATCTGTTGTCTGCTTATCTTCTTCACTTTGTTTTCTGCTCCATTTATTGCAGCTTCTCTGCCACTGTTCCTGGAATCCTAGTACTTTTTTCTCTTTCTAGAATGCCCTGCAGTATTCTCTGTAGAGTTGGATTTGTGGTTCCGAATTCCCCAAGTTCCTTTGTCTTGGAAGCATCTTGTTTCTCCATTAATTTTTAGAGACAGATTTTCAGGGTATATCAATCTGGGCTGGAGGTTATTTTTTTTTTCAGGGCTGGGAATATTTCGCTCCAGGCTCTTCTTGACTTGATGGTTTGTGTGGAGAAGAGCACTCAGATGGCTCAGGATTAAAAGTGAGAGTGCTTGAGAGTGAATGGGGTTAATGAAGTCAAAGCTATGAGCCAGAGATCATATCTTGTATATTTAACATTCTTTAGCCAACCTGACAAGTATGGGTCCACCTACTTGGAACATGAAGTATAATTGAAGCAGGGATTCAGCAAATGGGGGCTTCCTTAGGAACAGAGGCATGAAAACCCTTTTATGACTATAAAAGCCCCCAGAAGGCTTTCTGTCCTCCAGGAAGAATGAAAGGGTTCATGGAGGAGACCAGGCAGGGCAGTGCTTCCCATGACTCCCTTTGCCCGTGGGTTACTCATGCATGCAGGCCTGCGGTGAAACAGCCGAAGGAAGGAACACAGAGAGTCCACTGTGGTCAAGAAATATGAAAATAATTAATGTCAGTTGTAATTCATGTTAATTACTCTTCTTCAACCTTGGGATAATAGGCCTACCTCTCTGGCTTCTTTTGGTCCATTAAATGTTTAATCCCAGGGGGCTCCTACAATTCTGAGAAACAGAGCAGCCAGTGAATGCTCATGTCTCCAGAAAGTGCTGCCGACTGTCTTCAGTTCCTCAATTTCATATATGGGGTCCTGGCTTTTTGTCGGAGGTACTTAAAGCTGGGTAACAAAATTTTATGGAGGAGGAGGATTCATCATTTTTGCCAAGAGAGTCACAACATATGAGAGTTGTTTCCAGTGTGGATGGAAGTTGAGTAATTTCAAAGCAAGGGAAGAATCAAGGACCTATCATTTGCATGCTCGCGTTTAGCAAATTGTGTTTCTCTGGAACCATAAATTTCACTGCTGCTGCCCGTGAAGGGCATTAAAGCGGGATCACCTCCGATTGTGGTCACTTTCCTGGCAAAGAAAAAAGGTTGAGGCGGATGCTCTAGGGAAAAGCTGCTGTCCCAAGGTCGCGAGGCACAGGGTCTGCAGAGGCGCGGAACCGCCGGCGGAGGACCGGAGCCGCAAGTCCCCCGCGCGGTGGGACGCACCCACTACGCCTGACTAGCGCCTACCCTGAGTCTGGGCTGCTGGGCTCAGCGCTCGGCGCGCAGCTGTCAATCAAAATCATCGACCCGCCTCGTCCGGAGCTCGGCCAATCGTAGTCGGGGGTCGGGGGTGAGGCGACGCGGCGGTTAGGGAAGCAGTGGCCTGGCGGCCTGGCATTGCGGCCGCGGGCGGGGTGTTTGCATCCCGCCCGAGAGCAGAAGGCAGGTGGTGGGGTGTGAAGGTGAGTGTGGAGCTACGGGCTGTGTGAGGGCACCCGGCTGGCCCCGTCGCCAGAGCGACCCCTGGCTGGCTCCTCGCGCGCGCGTGGGCTGCGGAGCCCTCCTTCGAGCTTGGGCCCGAGTCCCCGGCCGGACGCAGGAGGCCTGCGGCTTCGGGGGTCCGAGCTGAGGGCGTCAGTGTTGCCTGGGCCGGGCCGCGCCAAGGCGGAGGCAGGCAGTGCTGGAGCCCCTGGTGCCGCAGCTTGGGACAGAAGGAGCCCGAGCCCTGGCCCTGGGAGGGCGGGGTTGGGCTGAGCATCTACAGCCTCGGCTTCCGGGACGTGCGACCCCGGGCTGTTCGGGACCCCTGTGCCGTGCCGCCCCTTCTCCGTCTTGGGACTCTTGGTTGTGCCGCCCGTGTAGCCCTGTCTGCGGGCTCCGCGCTACTCCGGGCGCCCGCCGCCTCTTGACTGCACGGATCTACTTAGCCGGTTTTGGCACATCAGATTCAGGTCGTATGGGGAGAAACGAGTGTGACTTTGCAAGGTACGATGCGGAAACGCTGGCTCGGTGCGCATCCTCCTTCACTGAAGACTGGTGGGATGGTGGTGCCAAGAGGGTTCTCGAGTTATGCAACATCTAGAGGAAATTGTAGTTTTATTTATGTCACTTTTCACTATTTACTCTAAAATATTGTTGTTAATGACCTGGAGATAAAGAATCACACTGCTCTGATGCCCCACACCCTCCCTGCTACTAACTACCTTTTGGAACTTCAGGGTGGGTTTTGAGTTGGCAGGACTCCCAGACCCTAATAATTAATTGATTCCAGTCTGTGGAGTCAGCATCATACTATTGCTTTACAGTGTTTGGGTTGTGCTTTCCTTTGTGTTTAGTATCTTGTTTCTGTGTCTGTTATCCTCACAGTCTCTCTGAGGTTGATAAAGTGCTGTTATTTACTACTGGGAAAGGAAGGGGGAGGATAGGTTACTGAAGTGGGGGTGATGTCTCTCTTGCCCGAAAATTGGGTTGTCCTGAGATGACATTCAAAACTCTTTGCAGAAAGGCCATTCTTTATTAACAACACTCTTGGCCATAGTAAACTAGTGATTCGCCTACTCGATGGTATATTATAATTACCTAGTGACCTTTAAAAAATTGTTTCTTGCTGGGCATGGTGGCTTATGCCTGTAATCCCAGCACTCGGGAGGCCAAGACAGGAGGAGCGTTGCGAGTTCGAGACCAGCCTGGGCTACAAAGTGAGCTTAAGGCCTGCCTGAACTGCATAGAGAGACCCTGTCTCAAAAAGACCAAAAAAAAAAAAAAAAAAAAATTGTTTCTTAAGCCTATTCTCACATGATTTAATTTGTCAGGAGGTCCCTTAAACACTGGTATTTTTTAAATGCTTCTACAGTGGTCGTTAATGTACATGCAGGTTTGAGAACTGTGATCCATCAACATGCCCTATTTTTTCTTATAGCACTTTGTCCTATATATGACGTATTTAAGTAAATTTATTATTTCTTCAAATGCTACTGTACTCTCCTTCAGTGATTGAGGCTTGCTGTGTAAGAAGGGCAAGAGAAGGTCTAGGTGAGTCAGCACTTTGGGCATTGAGGTGGGATACATGAAAGTGGAATCTGGAAATGAGTCTGGCATATTACTTTTTTTAACTTCATTTTCCTTCAAGGATTGACTCTTACGTGTTTGACTCATTCTTGTTCTGGTCTTGGATGGGTGTAGGTGTAGATCTTACTCTGTTAATTCTGGAGATCTCACTCAGTACTTTGTGAAATACATCTGTTCTTTGAAAAGCTTGAAACACAATCATTTATGCTTGGTTGCATTCCATCCATGTAAATCTGTATTTTTGACTCTTATGTAGGGGAGTGCATATTTTGAGTTAAATTTCAGATACTTCCTCTGATGAGTACAACTGCAACTATGGGGATAACAGGTTAAAATATTTAGAAAGCAGTCTCAGAAGTGGAAGGTGTATAGGTGTCCTGTGGTGTATTAATCGTGAATGGGGTTGATAAAGGAGCTGGTCTCAAATGAGTCTTTGTTTTACAGTTAATTCAGATGTTTCATTTGTGATGTTGACATCTGTAATTTCTGGTAATCTAAGCAACTACTTTATAGTCTTCTTGTGAGATAAGAGTAGGTAATCAAGTACCTAATGAAGTAAAGAGTTGTTGCTATAAGCCATTGGATTCTGTGTATCTTGGACATGGAAGAAGTCCTAATCAAAATTTGGCAGAACAATCCCAACAACTGGGCTTCTCCTGTAGACCATCCATGAATTTTACTTTCTCTTTGTTCTTAAAAAGGCATGAGTAAGTGGTATTCTGACACCAAGTCAAAGAAGACTTGAAAATAAGACTGTGCAAGCTTAGCTTCCTTGAACTGTGTATTTTGTTTAAACTTATTGTAATACAGATACTTCTTGTTTTCTGTAGTAGTGAGAGGATGGATCATTGCACCACATGATTAAGTAATCTTTAAGAAATGTATTTTTTGGAGCTTTTAGCTTTGTTTTACAGTTAAATGTCATATTGCCAATAAAGTTTTTACCTTCAGCAAAGGTCTGGCAGTGATTTCCCAGATCAAAGTTAATGTATTGGTTAACCATCCTGTTTTGTATTAGTAAGAAAAATAAATGTCTCCATTACCCTTCCACAACATTGTACTTAAGTGTGTGCATAACACTCTGCCTATAAAATTGTATTCTTATTTTCTAATAGGTTTTCCTTTACTTCCTCTATATAATATTTAGTATCGTTAACGTTCTAATCCTGTGTTTATTTCTGTTGCAGCAGGAAGAATGATATAAAAGTCAAAAAGCTTCAGTGTGTGGTACAGATATGGCAAGAAGAGATCATGGGCTGTTGATCTGGTCATGATCACTTCAGTTCAGAATTTAATGCTGGAAGAAAAGTTATTTTAAACTGTTACATTCTTTCCAATAAGTATCTCTCCGTGGGAAATTTTGGAAAAAGGTAAATTACACTGAAGTATATATTTTAGTTTTTGTTTGATCTGAAAATATTTTTCTAGAATTCCTGTCCAGCACTAGTATCTTTGATTCTAAGGTGAGTTGAGATACCAAGTGAAGTGAATTTCCTACTCCCCTTTCAACTAGTTTTCATGTGATAATGTCTAGGTTTTATATTTGCAGGAAAAACAGAAACCTCTACAGGTTTTTTTTTTTTAACTTAAAATTTTTCATTTTAACTTGAATTGTTTTTCTTTATATTTAGTGCCTTGTTTTTCTTTATGGCTGAAGTTTAGCTTTTACTTATAGAAATTACCTTTTTTCTTTAAATTTTTATTTTTTGGCAAAAAATTAAAACATGGATAAAGAAGAAAATAGAACCTTCTCAGCGTTATTTTTAATATATCTTTTAAAAAGATCTATCTAGCATACCTCAAACGGTGTCTGCTTTGGTACACAAGTTGATCTCTCAAATGTCAGTGCTCTGCTTGCTTAAAGCAGGAGATCGGGGCTTTTCCTTGCATAATTAAGGGCAAAAAAAGTCTCTAGCTCTGAGGGACTTTTTGCATTGCCAGCTATAGCCCTCTATAGTTCCTTTAGTTGTGAATCTGCTGCCCTTTGTCCTCCTTCTGTGTCACTGACCACCTCTGTGCTGCTGCTGGCCTCCTGAACCACACTGACACTCTCTACATTGGTGGCATCCACACAACCCACAGACCATGTACACCTGTCCATGGTGCAGCTAACTTCCTCTGTTTTATCATCTTTGGTGAAAAAAACCGCTGACCATTAGGGAAAGCTGTGATTTTTAATGGCCAATTCTTGGAGAGGATTTTTTTTTTAGCAGAAAATTTGGGATACTGGTGACAGAGTTATTCTCTATTTTACAGTGATTTCCTTCTTAGCATTTAATCATTTCAGGGTGGGTGTGTGCCTTGCTATTGGAGAGGGATATGGTTGAGGGGGTAATAAGGTGTTTTTCATAGTGCGTGACATCCATCCTTTCTGCCCTCCCTATTTGTCCCTGCCTCTTCCCTCCCCTCTGGATCAAGTAGGGGCCTCTAGCATGTTGCTTTTCCACTGATCCACATGTCTAGCCTTTATTCCTCTTTAAGAAGGGAACCTTTGTCTAGTGCGAGTATAAACTTCTCAAGGGAATTTCTGGTTCTTGGTACAGTACATGATATTATAGAGAGAACTTTTGTAATTATTTGTTACATAGATTGTTGAGCTAATGTATGCCATGTAATGTATGCAAGTTATTTAGTACTGTGAGGAAATTAAAAGCCTGATGTATTATCGTTTTTTCCTTTTGGATACATATTTTCTGTTTTTTTTTTTTTTTTTTGTCTTTTTCATTTTTATCGGTACCAGGGATTGAACTCACGACCGCCTGCTTGCAAGGCAGGTGCTTATGCCACTGAGCTAAATCCCCAGCCCCTATTTTCTGTTTTTTTAAAAAAATGTAGTCATAATTGTTATAGCCTACCTGGGAGACAAGGAATACAAATAGAGATCAGTTAAGAAGTGAAAATAGTTCTCTGGGAATTTTGAGTTTAGAGAACTTGTGAATAGCTCAATCTTATCTCCTTTCTGAATCTTGAGTTAAGGAAGGATTCTTATAAGAAGAGAATGGTAGGGGCTGGGGATTTAGCTCAGTGGCATAAGCACCTGCCTTGCAAGCAGGCAGTCCCGAGTTCATACCCGGTACCAATAAAAAGGAAAAAGACAAAAAAAAAAAAAAAAAGAAGAGAATGGTAGACAGAGGGAGTGAGAGAATAGGAGGCCTGCTGGTTCACAAAACACAAAGCTGAAGGGAGCAGCTGAGATACTCTGTGTCATGATTACATACCCTTTCCACTTTTACCTCTACACTCTACTCTCCATGGGAGCAAAATACTAATAACTTCTCTGCTTGTGTCAGTGGAGAAAGTATTTCAATTTGTTACATAAGAGAACAGTTAGGAATGGCAGACACTGAAGTCCTTTGTCTTTAACATGTGTGATAAAGGAGTTGGTATCCTGTTGCCTACTCCCCAAATATAACTCTTGTCTCCTAAATCTTCAGCAGAGCTATCATTTCTTCCTGATCCTTTTTATTTACTTAGTGGGAGACTGAGAATCATATGTGTAATGGAAGAGCCAAGAACACAAGGGTGTTTTTTATTTCTGCCATAAGAGTAAGGTGGTGCTTGTTTTATTTCCAGAGTGTTGGGGTGATTTGCACAATATTCCAGAGCTCCACATACAGTACAAAGTTTTCTCTTGATATTTTAAAAATATCATTAATGGGGCTGGGGATTTAGCTCAGCGGCATAAGCGTCTGCCTTGCAAGCAGGCAATCGTGAGTTCGATCCCCGGTACCGATAAAAAGGAAAAAGACAAAAAAAAAAAAAATTAATATAGTAATGTTATATAATTTGAATTTTAAGGAAAAGGAAGTGACTTTATTTAATTAGATTTCTGTTGAAGTTTACTTTTATTTTGGAATTTTTGAGTGTGAAAATATTCTTCTTAGTTCTCGAAAAGTTAACATTATTTACATAGCCTGGGGCTGGGAAAGGAAGCTAATTGTGGGGAAGTGGAGTATTACTGTGTTCTGGCTGTTTGCTTTCTCTGTGACTTAGCTGTTACAAAGCTCAGGAAGAGAATATGTGTTTTTCCTTTGCTTTTACTATACCCTTGTCTGCTGCAGTTGGTGATGTTCTCCTATTTTTCCTCTTTGAAGGAATTTGTAAAAGAAGAATTTGCTTTTTCAATAAACCACAGTTGCTCCTCTACCCAAAGAACTCTTAAGGCTGCTAGAAGGACAGAAGCAAGTGAAACTGAAAGCTCACCTGCATCTCAGAGAAAGACATGGAGCTTTGAGGAGTGAAGGTAGTATGATGTCGGCCATGGGTGGTCAGGACACAGCCAGACAATGTGGATCAGTTTCTTCAAAGTACGGCTTTTCTGCTGTCTGCTTGCAGTGTTGATGGTGGTGGTGCTTGTCATCAATGTGACTCAGGTAGAGGTGAGTGCTCAATACATTCCATTTGTGAATAGTTTGGCTCACAAACAAAAGTGCTTGATAAAATTTGTTTTTGTTTGCAGACTCTACATTGGGTGACAAACACAACCGCAGCAATCTCTCCTGCACAAACATAAATGTGGCTATCTTTTCCAAAATCATGGAACAAATTAAGTTTGTGAAGTGAGATATATATATATATATATGTGTTTTTCCAGTACTAGGGATTAAACTTATGCTCTTCACACTGATATGTCCCAGCCCTTTAAAAATTTTTTTTTTTAAAAAAGTTTTGAGATTGGATGTTGCTAAGTTACTCAGTTGCTTAGGCTGGCCTTGAACCTGTGACCCTCCTGCCTCAGCCTCCCAGATTGCAGGGATTATATGTTCATATCACCACACTTGGCACAGTTCTTCTTTTCATTTATTCAGTAAGAATTTGAGTGTTCGTAGTGCTCACATATTGTGCTCATTACTGGGTATCCAGGTGACAAAGAAGACAGATACGATTTTTGTACTTATGGAGTTCATATTTGGAGTGTGCATGGGTGAAAAAATACAAATTGTGTATCTCTTATCTGAAGTACCTCAGACCAGAAGTGTTTCAGATTTTGTAGGTTTTTGTTGTACTTTATAAAGAAAAGAGGCATATTTAGATTGTGACATTAAAGGTTTTTGGTTTTGGAATTTTGTGTAGACTTTACCAGTTGGGCATCCCTAATCTGAAAATCTGAGAATAAGAACTCTGAAACCTAAACATTCAAAAAGTTTGAGATTTCAGACCATGTTGGATCTCAGTTCAGGGATGCTTATCCCTTAATAAGTAATAGTCACAATCATATAGTATAGCATACTGATAAAAGAAATTATGAAAAGTGCTGTACAGAAAGGAAGGGAGTTAGGGTTACAATGAGGAGAGAAAAGCTTCTTTAAGAGCAGACCTTTTAGGTGACGTCTGACAAAAAGCTAGCGTATTTCAAAGAAGTTGATAAGTCTGGAAGACTGTATTGCACTCACGGACAGAAACCTTACTACTGAATCTCTCAGTGCTTGACACTAGCAAGATGCATAGTAATGTTTCTCCCCTTTCTACGCTCTCCCATGACTTGTATATCTTAAAAATTTTTGGAGTAGTTTCTGCTGTTCTTTTTGTTTGTTGGTTTGTGGTGCTTCTTAGATTATAAGTCTAACTTGATGACATTTCTTTGCATATTGTATTTTATTAGCACAAGTTGCTCTAAAAGCTAAGCCACAGGGTTTAAAAAAATTTCTCCTACGGGAATTCACTTTGTGTTTTTTTTTTTTTTTTACTGAAATATCTAATCTCACTATGAAAAGAGCACATAGAATCCTACAGATTTATTTCTATCAATCTGTAATAAAAATTGATAGATACTTGAAGACTGTGAAGTGGCTTTGTTCAAGATTTCCTATTGCATATGGCTTTAAAGTATTAAAAAGAGTTCTTCTTTTCTTTGCTTAACCTGCTCTTACACGTGTTGCTGCAGATAAGATGGTGCTGGTTTGCACTGTTGGATTCTGCCTGGAAGCTGTGAGCAATGGATCCAGGTGTTATAGAATCATTCTTTGTTTCTCTAAGATAGACATAACATATACTTTACCATTTTAACCATTTGTAAGTATACAATTTAATGAAGTGGTATATTTGCATTATGTGTAACTACTACCACCTTCTGTCTCCCAGAATTTTTTTATTTTTCTAGACTTAAACTTTGTACCTAATAAACAGTAATCATCCAGTGCTTCATACATTTAGTTACTGGTGCCTACTGTTCTATTTTCCATCTCTATGGATTTGATGACTATAGGTGCTGCATAGAAATGGAATCCTATGGCATTGGGCTTTTTTGTTGTAGCTCTTTTTATGTTAGCATAATGCCTGCAAGGTATATCCATGTTGTAGCATGCGGCAGAATGGCCTTAAGGTTATGTAATGCTTCTGTCTAAACACAGAGAAAAAGAAATATTATTTATTCCTTAAAAAGGAAGTAATAAACTGGAAGTGGTGATATACACCTGTAATCTCAGCAATCAAGAGGCTGAGGCAGGAGGATCCTTGCAAGTTTGAGACCAGCCTGGGCTACAAAGTGAGCTTGAGACCAGCCTGAACTGCATAGTGAGAGTCTGTCTCAAAAAAAAAAAAAAATGAAGTTTTTATCCATGCTTTAATATATATATGTACATAACATATTTTATTAATTTATTCATCTATCGCTGAACATCTGGGTTTTGCTTTCTTTTTTTTTGGTATCAGGAATCAAACTCACAACCTTGCAGTTGCTAGGCAGGCGCTTAGGCCACTGAGTTAAACCCCAGCCCTTTGCTTCCTGTTGGCTCTTGTGGATAATGCTGCTATGAAGATGAATGTACAGATACTTCTTTGAGACTCTGTTTCAGTTCTTTGGGATGTGTTTCCACAATAGAACTTCTGGATCATGTGGTAATTCTATTCTTTTAAGAATCACAATACTATTTTCTGTAACAATTACACTTATTTTCATTCTCCCCAACAGTGCACAATGGTTCTAGTTCTTCTACTTGCTTCCAGTCCTTATTATCATTTGGTTTTTTGAGTTGCAGTCTCTCTGTTCCAGGCTGTCCTCAAACTCATGATGCAGCCAATATAGCTGGTCTTAAACTTTCATATAAGAATGTTGGATTTTGTTTTGTTTTGTGTTTTGAGCCAAGGTCTCACTGTGTAGTTCAGTCTGGCTCTGAAATCACTGTGTAGCCCAGGCTGGACTCTTGGTAGTCCTCCTGCTTCAGCCCTACAAGTGGCCAGGGTCACAGGTGTACACCACTTGCCTGGCTGCTGACCAAAATGTTGGGATTACAAAGGTGTGGGACCTCAGCTGGCTTTATTTATATGTATATTTTTTGATTATAATCTTTGCTATGGGCGTGAGATCGTGTTTTACTGCGAGGGTGTGTATGTGCGTGTGTGCATGTGTGCATGTGTGTGTAGGCTAGGACCTTGTGTATCTTAGGTAAGTGCAGTACCACTGAGCTACGTCATTAGCCCTGTTTTTATTTTTAGCTAAGCTACACAGGTTGGTCTTAAACTTGTGATCCTTCTGACTCAGTCTCTTAGTCATTATTTTAATTGTATTTCCCTAATGATTCATGATATTGAACACATTTCTGTGTTCTTCTTGGCCATTTAGGGGTGTGTGTGTGTGTTTGTGTGTATATATATATATATATTTTTTTTTTTTTCCTCTTTTGAGAATTGCTTGTTTAAGTCTCCCTCCCTACTTTTTGATGCTGGGGATCAAACCTAGAACCTTACATGTTACATGTATACTAAGCAAGTACTCTACCACTGAGTCACATCTTTAGCCTCATTGTTACCCGTCTACTCTGGCTTTATTTTGTGTGTATGTGGGGACCGTTTGGAAAGAAATTGTGAAAAGGCAAAGTATATCTTTCTTCTTCCCTGCCTGTCACAGCTCTGAGCTCTGAGTGCCAGTGGCTCTCAATTCTTGGTGTTAGCAACTCTTTTAGCTCTTTGTAGCTCTCTTAACGGTTCACAGTACTGGAGCTAGAGCTCTTCTGCAGCTTTCCCAGCAGTTCCTAGTTCAGTGATGGTGAGCCTTTTGGAGAAGAGTGCCCAAACTACAACCCAAAACCCACTTACTTATTACAGAGTGCCAGCATTGCAATTAAACCTGAGTATTATGGATTTAGTTTAAAGAAAAATCACTCTTTTTTTTTTGTTACTGGGGATCAAACTCACAGCCGTGCACTTGCAAGGCAGGTGCTTATGCCACTGAGCTAAATCCCCAGCCCAAACCACTCATATATTAACATTGTTTATCTTAAAAGAAAAATAAGGTGCATGCCATAGGTTTGCCACCACTGTCCTAGGTCTTAGCAGCTCTCTGACTACAATGTGTTTTGAGGACAAGTAGCCCCTTGTGTTACCAGTTCTTGGTGCAACTAGCTCAGCCTGGTCTACTTGAAATGGAATTAACAAGTAAACAAACCAATAAAATCAGAAAAGGCTCATTGAGGCTTATGGTGCAGCAAAAGAGGGTGGTGGCATGAGGGTGTTGCATGGACTGGCCCCATGAGAGTGAGGGGTGCTGCTTATATATATGAGAAAGGCAGGTCCACACGAATGTGCTGTCTCTTGTCTGGTCACTACACTGTTGTGCCTGTCTGTGCAGACCGCAGCTTACCTGTGCTGGCTCCTTGCTGATCATGGTGAGGACATCTGCAGTGGCTGCCTTCTGAGTGGAGGCGAGGAGTGGCTGTGGGATTGAGTCATATGGAGCAGTAATGGCCAAGGCAGTTTCCCAGGGCAGTCATGGGGAATTAGGTTCAACTGTAGCCCAAGTAAAGATCTTTCTCAGTAATCATCAAAGCTGTAAAAACTTGGAGCATACTCTCTGCCCCCCCGCTTTTTTTGTTTGAGATAGTCTCACTTTGTAGCTAGGTCAGTCTTAAACTTTAGCTTCCCAAACTATTGGGATTAAAAGTGTGTTCTACCATAAAATTTACTGTCTTAGCCATTTTCCAGACTTCTGCTTACTCTTTTAATATCCATAGTCATCTTGTCATTTTATTTTATTTTACTTTACTTATTTGTTTTGTTTTTTGAGGCAGGATCTTGCTTTGTAGTCCAGGATGGCCTTGAACTTGCTTATGTAGCTCAGGCTGGCCTTGCTTGAACTCATAGTGATCCTTCTGCTTCAGCAGAAGGATCCTGTGCTGGGATTTCAGGCATGCACCACCATGCCCTGGTCTATTCTGTCATTTCTTTTTTCTTGGTCTTTTTGAGATAGGGTCTTGCTATATATAGTTCAGGCTTGCCTCGAGCTAACTTTGTAGCTCAGGGTGGTCTCGAATTTGCAGCAGTCGTCCTGCCTTAGCCTCCTGAATGCTGGGATTACAGGCATGTGTCACCACACCAGGCTTTATTCTGTCATTTCTGATGTTGATAGTTTATGTCTTCTTTTTTATCAGCCAACCTAGAGGTT